GCATCTGACTTTGGCTCAGGTCATGATCTTACGGTTCGTGAGTTTGAGTCCTGCTTCGATGAGCCCCTGCTCCTCTCTCTGCCCCCACCCTCTCTCCCCTGCAGGCTTACTTGCATCCTCTCTCAACAAACAAACACGAACGGACGAGAGAAGCTTTTCTTTCTTGTTTATCTATCTTATGCTGGGTGCAAAATACAGAACCAGAAGCAAATTTCTCCTTTGAGCCTTGCTAGTGACATAGAGTCCCGTGACTTAAAAGCTTTCTAGAACACAAACATGATGGGGAGACAACCGCACTAACCTTTTTGTATGAAGCTCTATTCATTTCTTGATGCTGTTGTAACACGCGATCACAAACTTAGTGGCTTAAAGCGAGAGAAACGTACTCTCTTGTAGTTCTGGAGGCCAGAAGCCCCAAATCAAGGTACTGGCAGAGCCACGATCCCTCTGGAAGGCCGAGGGAGAATCCATTCTTCACTTTTCCCAGCTCCTGGTGTCTCTGGGCATTCCGTGGCTCGTGGCCACGTGTCTCTGCTCCACCTTCAACCCCCCCCCCCTTCTGCGTGTGGCTGTGCATCTCCATCATCCTCTCTTACAAGGACACACGTGGTTGTGCTCAGGGTCCGCCTGGATAATGCAGGCTAAGTTCCTCTTCCGCAGATCCTCAGCTCCACCACCTCTCTCACCCTGGAAGAGAATATTCAGTCCTTTGCCATCTCCAGTGCCATTCACAGGTTCCAGGGATTCTGGGGGCGGGAGCATTTTTCAGCCCACGATGGTGGCTGACTGGTCCAAGGACAGGGGAGGGCCACGTGTGTCCTGGAGGGATTTTCCACCCGAGATGACGGATTTGCGGCATCTGGTCACACGGTCTGCCGCCCCCCGGCCAGTGGAAGACGTCATTCTGCCGAGTGCCACCGAGCTGGGAGTAGAGGGGCAGCGTGCAGCTTTAGGACAGAGGGCATCTGCCCGGAGGTGGGGATGGGGCTCAATAACCGCCAGCTGTAGAACAGCCATGAGCAAATGACCCGACGGGAGAGAGCGGACAGACATCAGTGTTTGTTTCCAAGAAATCAATTTTGTGCATTTTTCTTTTCTTTCCTTTCTTTAGCTTGAGAGTAACCAGTAAAAGTAAGGAGTCGGGGCTTTCTGACCTCACGCGGCCTACTGTCTGCCATCCCAGGTGTGGCTACACCAGCAAAGGCAGGCGCAGGTTCACATACGACAACTCCGAGCTGGAGAAGAAGATTTCGTCCTGTTCTCCTCCTCCAGACTACAACTCGGTGGTCCTATATTCCACCCCGCCTGTCTAAAAGTTCGACACGTAGCCTTATTTCTAGAACCACACGAGTATTTATACCCCCTGAAAACTAGCTTTTGCCAGTAGGACACATACATACATGTACACCTTTACCTTTCCACAGGAGCAAGCTGCCTTTTGTGATTTTTTTTAATAAGTGCTTCTTTTTCTTTTTGACTAACAAGAATGTAACCCCAGATAGAGTAATAGTGATAAGTAAAGAACACCACTGGTAAAGCCTCACGTTAATTCAGCGTGTTAGAGAGACCCTTACTTCCAAGCCCAATGACTTACCTGCTCCTGCCCCCGAGACCGCAGGGCGTTCAGTGATTCAGGAGATGCATCGATCATGCGAGGCAGCATGGACTCCACGGGGCCAGCCACCAGCACCCTGGAACCGGGAGGCAAGGAGCCGTAAGCCGGCCCGCGCAGTGTCTCTGGGGTCCTCTAGCAGATGCAACTTCCGGGGAAGGAGGAGGAGAAGGGAGAAAGGAAGAAGCGAGCAAGGAGGACAAAAGCACTGGAGAGAACTGGCGCCATCCTGTATGGGGAGGGAGTAGGTGAGGGCTGTCCCCCATGACACTGCAATGGCTTCCGGACCCGGACCAAACCCGGTCCACACTGAGAACCCACCTTGGGGAGCAGACAGGACAGAGACACGAGGGGACATTTTCTGGATTCCAGCAGGCAAGTAAAGGACAAGCAATTTTTTTTCTTTTTGGCAACTACAAATTTTAAAACGTTAGCTATGGGACTGGATCTATGCCCATTCCCACATATGGCACATTTTCAAATTTCTAGCAACGGAGCGTGGTGCTCAGATCTGAGCCCGGACTGCAGGCCCCTCTAGTAATATACACTGAAAACTCACCCTGAGCTCGGCTGGCTCCACGGGCACCATGGCCTTGCACTTAGATTGCTCAGAGTAAGCTCACTGGAACGGGTTTGGTCTGTTAGGGTTACCTGTGGGGCTTTAAGCCACATTTTAAAAGTTGTCAGATTCTATTTTGAGTTATTAATATATAATCAAGACACTTTTTTTTTTTTTTTTTTTTTTACACTAACCTGTTTTGTCCAGTTAGTTATAAACGGAAGCTGAGGAGGATGAAAACAAAGAGTCCTGCGGAGGGTTTCCTCTGTACCAAAACCAGGGTAGGTGGAGCGAAAGCAGGATGAGCACAGTAAAAACCCCATCTCTTCACCACCCAAACCAACTCGCGGGAACAGGTGGGGCCCAAAGGAGAGGAAGCCAATCATGTTTCCTTTTTCATGGGGAGTCTACAACCTCATGCTGGTCTACTGGGAAGATGTGGAAGAGTATTAACCAATGTTTATTAAGCACTTTATGCTCCTGGAGAAAAAAGGTGATATGTAATTTATGCAAGATACTTTTAGAATTGGGACTCAGGATATTAGTTATTGAGCCATCAATAGGAGAAAAGCCTCTCTTCATCTGCTTTGGCCCTTGCCTTGGGTCTGAGAATGATGGAAATAGGGAGACAGGGTACAAAAGGGTGCCTACTCTTCAGGGTTTAAAGACCCTGGAACTCTCAGCAGGCTCTGATGCTGTGTATTTAGGACGTATGTACCTTCTAAAGCCAGTCAAAGCTGGACAGGTTAACAGTGAATTGCTGCTTCTGGTAGAGACGAGTGTGCTTCCCTTTACGGCAAGTAACTTAACTCTAGAACCTGATATATAATAGGAGAATCTTTACTTCCTTCCCTGTGTGTCACATTCCTGTGTCAAGGTTCTTAGTCTAAAGAGACAGGACAGTCAGCACACCCCAAAAGGAAGGAAGCAGGTGCTCCAGTGGGGATTCTGCTGGAGAAGCGTCTGGCCAGCAGAGAAGTGAGGCAGGCCTCTCCACCAGGACCCCAGTCCAGACAAAATCAGGCCAGGACCAGAAGAGGGGAAAAGCTTTGTTCTTCCTCGTCTTCGTGTGCACAAAAAGCACCTGTGACAGTCGGTGATAGTATCAATCAGGTAACCAGAAGGAGGTTCAACAGGGAAAAGAAAAGAAGACCTCAATCAGCTTTGCCGATTTTTCGTATCCGATAAGGATCCAGCAATGAGTGAAAACAAAAACCTTAACTATACGTACAGTATCTTAATTTTGATAACCTAATTAATTCTTAATTGTTCAAAGACCCTAGTAATATCATCTTTCCAAAAGAAAAAAAAATCTTCAGAATTTATGTTAATTCAGCTGCTTCAAAGACTCAGGTTTAGAGCCTACGTGAGTCCATTGGTCAAGATGGTTCCATCTAGAGTGTTAACACAGGAAGGAAAATGGAAGCTCGCAGTCATGAGTCCACCCAGTTGCAACGTGCTTGCCACAGACTGGTTCTTTAACCAGCACTGGATGTTAAACACTAAAACCTGAAACACTCATTAAACCACGGTATTATTAGAACCATTTGGCATTTATGACCAACATAGTTGGCACAATCCTTTCAGGATTTGTGAGAGCATGTATGTGTAACAGTGTGGGTGGAACGGGACTGAAACCATATGGAAGTCTGTATCTAGTTAAGTCTAAGAAGCGATGCTCAGACCTTGGTTTTAGCTCGTGAAACTAATTTGTCCAAACCCTGAAAAAAAGGTTATGTAGGTCTTCTAGCTGTGCCTGGTTTCCCAGCCCGTAAAGAATGTCAAACACGAACAGATACTCGCCAGTCCCTTTTCATTGCAAAAGGAGCACAACTTGGACTGACAGTGGTAGTAACTGTGTGTGTATATACGTGTGTGTGTGTTGTGCGTGACTATTTAAGGAAACTGGAATTTTAAAGTTACTTTTATACAAACGAATATATGCTGCAGATATAAGTAAGACTTAATTTGGTCCTACATCTCTAGTCACCATGAATGTATTTTGTATGCTATCTTCATATAATAAAATTAACTTCTGAAAACATCTGTTTTCTCCAGTTTGCTTATACGTGAGAAAAAAAGGTGGGGGGGGGTCACAGGTTTTTCCTTGGGGGTGGAGGGCCGGTGTCCTGGGGGATCTCCTTAAATACCAGTAGTGAAACACAGCACAAGGAAAATCCAGCAAGCCCTCTGAAGAGAGGAGCAGAGTTTTCTCTCAGTACCACAAGATGCTGCTCTAAACCATCAGGGTGCTGTAAACAGTAAATCAAAACCACAAACCAGGCACATCGCCCAGAAAACAAAACACTAAAATGAATACAATTAGAAGTGAAATGTACAGACCGAGTACAAGCACTGGCTGCAGATGGAGGTACCCTCAATGAAAGAAGAGGCGGGTTTTCCCCAACACTAATTTTCAGCTAAGAAACGATTACCATAATTACAGGATGTGTGTGCGCGCGCGTCTGTGTGTATATTAGAGGTCGTACGCAGGAAACCATACAGAATAATTAGGCAGAAGCCTGAGACACGAGAGCTTCCCTAAGAAAAGTACACTAGCCACATACTGTTTTCTGTGAATTACGTCGTCGACACAATCATCACTAACAGACATGGAGTAAGTGACCAACAAATTGTCCTCGTAAGTGGTCATACCGTCACCTTCCTGAAAACATCATGCAGAAACTAGGTTGGAGACATATGTGGGAAAACAGGTCTACTTTTTTGGGGACAAAGGCAAGAAAAAGAAAAAACGACTCCCCCCGGTAAATTTGTGGTTAACCGAAGAGGGCACACGGCGTTTTATCTTCGTGAATCAGAAATCCTTTAAAAACAGTATCGGTTTTCATAACATAAGAGTAAAGTCACTCATTTAAGCACATGATTTGAAGAATGCTCGAGGAATTGGTTCAGAAATTTTCTCATGACTCTGGAAACTTATAGGACATTTGGGAATTGTTTTTTTTTCCCTTTTCTCCAGCAGAAGGATCTCCCAGTAAGGTTTATCGGACTCCTCAGTGTTAAACATACTACCAGACTTCTGGGTTTCACAGGCCAGGAAATTTTACAAAAATATCCTGGGTTCCAACGCAGGGATGACTGACCTTCTATTTTCTCAACGAAGGATATTTTAAGGGAGAAAAACACAAAACCAAAACAACCAGAGGCCACAAATTCCCTGTTCCTTGAGCTGGGTGTGGTACACAGGTGTGTTCACTTTGTGATAATTCATGGAACTATGAACTTATTTGCAAGCTTGTGTGTATGTGCGTACTATTCTTCGATACAAGATTACTAAAAGGAAAAAAAACATTTAATGCCACAGTTTTCACAGATGACCGATTTAAGAGAGTATGGGCTTCCTCTCAGACGAAAATATATTAACTTCATGTGCCAGCAACTAGTCTAAGTGCTTTGAGGAATAAAACTCAATTTCCAAAGCAATCCAATGTGATTGGTACTATTAGTTATACCCGCATCAACGGGAAGACTGAAATGAAGTAATCCAAAGAGCACTTCAAAATCTCACCATCACATCTACCACTGGCCTGCACCTGTAGTCACATGCTCTGCCTTCCTTTCTGGATGGTCAATCCAAAACCTGTCCTGGCACGCCTGGATTCCTTCCTGTACTCAAGGACACAACTCCAGCAATTCACTGCTCCCTCACCCCCCATCAATGTGTCCCTCTCCCATCAGATCACACAAACATGCTATTACCCCTCCCATGTTACAAAAACAAACAAAACCTTTCATCCCTACTTGCCTCTTCAGCCACCGCCCCATTTCTTTATTCTTTACAGCAAAATTCCTTGATGTAGTTGGTCTCCATTTCCGAGTTCACCCCCTCAAGTACTCTGAAACCCACTCAAACCTGGCTTTCAGTGTTACTCACTGAAACCGCTTTTGATAAGGTTACCAGTGACGAGTGCCCTGCAAATTGCTAAATGCAACAGCCAATTTTCAGTCTCAATCTTTGTTGACTCATCAATTTGACCCTTATTCTTGAAAATACCTTTTTTACTTTGACTCCAGGACATCAAACATTTTTCTTCCTATTTCACTGGTCATTTCCATCCCTCTTAACTACTCTTCTCTCTTCTCTGACCTTTGAGCACTGACTGTTCCAATTACCCCAGGGT